AGATAAAGAAGAATGAGAATTAGTGGTAGACGTATCAAATCTTAGTTTATGACTTTTGTTCATGATACAAGATTGACAGTCTATGTTATTTTTGAAAATCTTTAAGTGTGGATTGCTGCTAGCGATGCTGGTAAGAGTCCGATGGTTGGGATGGCCCAATCGATCGTGCCATAGAGTATTCTGAGCTGTATGACTATGAAGTGCGTGCTGTTGATGAGTGGCGGTCGGCGTGCGGAGAGGATACAACCCGTTCTTGCACGGTCTCTTAAGAAGAATTCGATGGTTCATCAGATCCTTAAACACAAAACCAAAGGGATCAAAAGTGATAGCAAGATTGTTATCCTTAGTTAGTAGTGAGATGGAAAGTAAATTATAATGAAGTGTTGGTGTGTGAAGGATGTGAGATAGAGTGAGCTTACGAGAGGGAGTCGGTAGCAAGCCTTTGCCGGAGTGAGCTATGCTGACCGAACTCCCATCGCCGATGGTAACGCCGTCTGATCCTTGATAAGAGTTTGAGATGTAGAGGTTGTCAAGAGATCTGGTCATGTGTGATGATGCGCCTGAGTCAAGAAACCAGTCCGTGTAGGACTGATTTGAGTCCGCCGCTAAAGCAGTGGATGATTGCCGTGATGGAGATGGAACATACTGAGGATTCAATCTGTGCCAGCATTCTGGAGCAGAATGTCCTCTTTTCAAACAAATTTGGCAAACGCTGGAGGTCGACGGTGGCTTTTCTCTGGATGGGGTTCTTGAACTTGACGCACGGCTTCTGCCTCTTCTGCTACGGTCGCGAGAAGAGAGCAAAGCCGTGGTGGATTGATTTGAGGTATCAAATTGCGCCATATCGGATGCTATGTGTATTTCTTCGCTGATGAGGAGGGAATAGAGCTGATCAAGGCTTAAAGTTTGAATCATTGTCCGAATGGCTGTCTTGAAAGATTGATATTGCTGGGTAGGCCATTGAGAATATGTAGAATGATATCCTCCGAATCAAGCTGCGAGCCCGCTGCAGCTATTTGATCGACAAGTTTCTTGATGTCGTTGAGATATTGCAGCATAGTAGAATTTTTAAGGGAGATATGGTGAAGTTCATTCTTAAGTTGAATGACCTTAGATCGATTGGTAGATTGGAACCGAACTTGCAAAGCAGTCCAAATGGCAGCGGTCGATTCAAGATCGATCACGTAGGGAAGGATAGAAGAAGAGATGGTGGAGCAAATGGCAGCCGCAAGATTTTGGTCGGTTAAAAGCCATTGATTGTAAGCCGGGTTTGGAAGAGAGGATCCAGAGCTTTAGACAAGAACTTGGTCGGGAATGGGAGAAGTAGCGTCAAGAAACGAATCAAACCCATTTGCGCGACAGATCTTGAGAATTTGGGAGCGCCATAGGGGATAGTTGTCCGGTGATAGTGGAGTTTGAACAATATTCTTGAGATTTGAGAGAACGAATTTTAGAGAGGATGAAAGAGCAGGAGTGACAGAGTTGGAGGATTCTGTCGACTGGGTGATCGACGACGTTGTTGAGGACGCCATGAAACTGCCGGAAACGACACCTAATCTTCTGATACCATGTAGAAATCCTGTTCGAGATACGAGTAGAGCAAGAACAGATCGCAAACCAGACAGAAAGGAAAGAAGTAAATGATCTTATTATTCTATTCTATACAATACCACTCTATTTATAGAGTACTCAATTATGAACAGATATGTAACAGACAGCAATATAAAAGGCTATACAATCTTAAACACAACTGTTGCTTGTATGCTCTAATAAAAGATTGGTAGATGTGAATGTTGTAAATCCAAAAGAAAATGAGTTTTCTTTTTGGATTTGAATGTCTTTTTGCTGGTGGGGTCTCTTTGATGGGGTTAGCTTGATCCGTTGGAGTTTTGTGGCTGTTTTGGTGGATAGGTTTGGTAGCTTTGGTTGGTGGCTCGCCTTTGTGGTTTTTGATGGTCTGGGCAATGATGTGGCGGTTTTTTGCTCACCGCCTGAATAGTTTTGTTGTTGGCAATCATTGATGATGCTTCCTCTACTTCTATTTGGTGGCATTTGTGTGGGATGTGTGATTATGCTTATCCTTTTGCATCATCATCAATGTGGGATGTTGTTTTCTTCCTCCTCTGGATGGGCATTGCCTTGCTCTTAATGATCCGATTTTTTTAATGGGACAAAGAGTTTTCGTTCTTTTAGAGATGATCTGCCTGAGCTTTTTCCCTCACTGCACTTTTCTGGCCTAAAAATCACTTCTCACAGTGGGTTGCTATCACTATGGATTTATGAAAATGAAATTCATTCGCTTGTTGCTCCGTCGAGTCCGCTTTGGTGGGCAAGGAGTCCTATCATCAAAGAGAAGACAAATTGATATATGTGTGGCCATTCTGACTCCATTAAAATCAAATTCACTAAACCCCAATGTGGATTGAATCGGTCTAAGCCGGGTCAATTTTAAAATTAAGTTTGGGAATCTATTATCCTTCTAAAGTTAATGATAGAGACTCTAAGGAGCTTCGAGGCTTCCTACAGCTCGCCAATACTATGGTGTCAAGTGTCCTCCTAAAAGCTCCTTTAGGCTTCTACTCTATGGCAAGGAGTCCTATCATCTAAGAGATCACTAGGGGGGAGATAGAATGCCAACCTCATCAAAAGTGAGGTCAACATAGTTTTTTAAAAGCAAATTTAAAAAAAAAATAGTGAAAAAGTTTTCTTATAAATAGATATTATTTTTAATTACTAACCTCTTTTCTTAGGACAAACGACAAAAGTAATAGAAAAGCTTTTCCAAACAAAGTCTTAATTTGCCCCAAATGAAATCTTATTTAATTGATACAGTTTGATGTCTTTTGAATTATTCAAATCCCGGGAAACCTAAATTTCATATTTTTTTTAAACAGAAAATATACTTTCACATATATATTAATGCATAAATGTTTATTTTATTTATATGAACCGAAATAGAACTACAATTTTGATATATAAGGGCATATATAAATATAAAAGCAGTCGAACTTATTAAACTTCAGTGTGGAAGAATCTTTAGAAGAATTAGCTTTTAATATGGAACAAAATTGCAATATTAATATGGAGAAAATTTTTAAAATGAAGCTTCTAAAATAGTATTACATCGGCAAAAATGATAATATATGATGCATAAATAGACTAAATTTATGTCATTGATACAATGTTGTTTTGTTCATACAAATGGAGTATTGTTGTAATAATTACTATAAACTTATTATAAATATAGAAATATTTATGCTATACATATAATTGTCATTAATTATTTTAATAACTTTTGAATGCTGTTTTTTTTTTTTTTTAATTCTTAGTTTACGCTAAGTTCACGTCATAATATTATTTAAATTAATAAGAAAATAATAAAAATGCACGATCATTAAGTTTGCATTCTTAGTATTTTAAAATTTCATCAAATATGGTAAGAATTCAAAATTAATAAGTAATGTAATAAAATTATATTTGTAATATGTAGAAATAGAATTGTATCTCTATTAATTTTCCTACATTATTAATGAACAAGTTCTTTTAGATGAATGACATTGATATAAATATGACTTCATGAGTCCCTCAATTAAATTTAGCGATTCTTTGACCTGATACATCGAATGAAGAACTGGTTATCTGACATATCAGATTTGATTGAATTCGTAAATTATTTTTATGCAATGAGAGAATTATTCTCGCTTAATTGCTAGAAATGCTGGTCGGAAAGTCTGATTGCTCCGAAATTATAAAATAATAAAAAAATCAGTGCAATAATGGAGACAGTGGTCAAGCCTTTGATTAATTAATTATTTATTCATTGGAGAATCCAAAATTTTCTCCTTATTTAGACTGCATGAGACGAAAATATAGTAATATCCATCCAATTCACTCCTTCAGCGTGCCGTAGATGATAACCCCATGAATTATGGCTATAGCTTCGTCGTCATCTAGTTGGGGCCGCTAGCCTTTTTTTTATTTTATTTGTGTGTCGATCATCATATTAAATTAAAATATTAAATTATTTCTATTTACAACGGCAAATATTTAGCCTACAACAAAATGAGATACATGATTTATTTTATTTTTACTTAGGATAAGATCACTTATTTCAAATGGTTTTTATATCATTAGAAGCATGGATATGAGCTATTTTTCTTTTTAATTTAAATGTAGTGGGCTTTCAATATGAGTTTCGTTGTCTTGTTCTTTTGGTCCACTAGTCTAGAGCCCATTTGTCATCACCTTTTGCTTCTCTCTTTTACTTTTATATATCTTTTAAAATTGGCAGAATATGTTTGTTTTGAATTTTGTAACTATTTTTTATTTCAAAAAATAAATAAAGAGATTTTTAAAACACCTAAAATTTTTAAATGACTTTAATATTTTTAAAACAATAATTCTTAACTATTCAACCTCATGAATTACATTGATCTATTACCTAGCCATCATTGATCAATATCAAGTCTGCTTGCCACTTATTAAGCCTATCTTAAAGCCTACAATGTCTATTATTTTTAGTTAAATCATAAAATAAGACTTCATTTAGGACAACTTTTTTACTAATTTTTAAAACTTTTTATACAAAATTTTTAAAATTATTATTAAAAATAACTTCAAAAAAAATAAGAAAGTTGATCCAAATGAAACCTAAATCAACTTATGATGCAACTTTTAATAAAAATAAAACTTAATATATATATATTAAAGATATCAATTTTAATAAAAAATGATTCCACACGGCTCTTACGAAAATTCTTTATTGATATTCTAATCTTAAGAAAATTATTATTTTTATTTATTTTACTAATTAATAAATAGCATATAGGCAGGAGTTTAAAAATAGGAAAATGCCAAATGTGTACTTGAAGCTTAAACACCACTAAACCGATGCATTTAGGCCATTTAAGACAAATTCATACACACAACGTATATACATAGACTCAAATTCTGAACCTCTTAGTTGGAAGCTAACTTCTTAACCCAAGGAGAGTTGTGTCGCCCGCTCTCTTTCGCAATTATCCGCTCTCCTGAAGCGTCGCCATCGCCACCTTCCGAAAGGATTCCGGCGATCGATCTGTTTCCTACGTGCCGCCCTCTGATATAGGTGCGCATTTTATTGGGCAATTCGAATCTTATAAATTGTCGATCCTAGGTCTAGGGTTCGGTAAAATTTTGGAATCCATTTTTCAGCGTCAACGGAGAAGGTTAGGATCATCCTGCTAGGGCTCAAAATTGGCAGTGAATCTCAGAGTCGACGGACGGCTTTGCCTCACGACGGAGAAATTCCAGCCGGCCTGCACTCCCGGCTCCATCCTATATGATATGATCTCTATTGCTCGAATTGAAGAAGAGAGATCGGACCTCGTTCAACAGCTGGTAAGGTTTGGATCTCGCCAGTTCTCTCGATGATCTCTAGCTAGGTTTCGCTGGCTATAATTCCGATGAGATGGAAAAGGCAGGGGGAGACCTTGGAGGCGCGGGAGGAGACAACGTCTCGCGGTCCAAGTCGGTGTGCGAGTCAGTGAATGGCTCGCATCGGTATGTTATCAAGGGTTACTCCCTGGCGAAGGGGATGGGGCCAGGGAAGTACATGACAAGCGATACGTTTACGGTGGGGGGATACCAGTGGGCTGTGTACTTCTATCCAGATGGGAAGAATCTAGAAGACAATTCGCTTTATGTTTCGGTTTTTATAGCGCTTGCCAGCGAGGGAACCGACGTGAGGGCGTTGTTTGAGCTCACATTACTTGATCAGAGCGGCAAAGGGAATCACAAGGTGCATAGCCACTTTGATCGGGCGCTGGAGGGTGGCCCTTACACTCTGAAGTATCGGGGGAGCATGTGGTGCGTTTGTTTTTCCTACTAGTGTTTTAATTCTGTTTTATTGTTATGAGCTCGCTGTTCTTTTCTTAACCATATCAGAATAGCTTTATTTGGATTAGTCGTCATTTGATTTAGCTCACAGTTCCATCTCTCATTTAGTTGGATTTGTTGACACCGGTATTCTTCTGATTATTATTAGTGCTCGCTTAGGCTATTCGGTAAAATCTGAAATATTCCTTTCTGTAATTGTGCAGACCACAGTTTTATGTAATGGGTTATGTACTGTTGAACTTGAAGGAAGATACTTCATTTCCGATTACTATTTCTTATGGTTTTGATGTATGAATTTTTCTTAACCCTGGTTTTGTGATTAACTTTTACAATTTGTATTTGTTTTAATGCCCTTTCACATTTCTTTTTTTATTTTGTGGTTTTTATTTGCATTCTCTTTTTATCCAGGACAGTCTGCCGACTGCTTAACAATTTAAGTATCATGTTTACCACAAGCCATTTTTTGCAAATGATGTTTTTCCGGTTTTACCTTTCAGTTTATGAGTTTTGTTCTTGCTAGATATGAAAATGTGAAAAACTTATGCCATAGTTTTTGCAAGAACCCAATTGATTGATAGAATTAAATCAACATGTTTTACACATCTTTGATAGTAGACATTCACATGCAATCTAAGATATTTGTAAATTTTTTCTAGAGCTTTAAACATTGCACAGACCATTCCATATGTATATGATGTTGTTGACATCAAGTAAATCAAACCAGCATTGACATATATGCGCATACAGAGAATGACACAAACTGTAATTATGAGAGGTATATATTTATATATAATGTGATGAACTCCTTACTTAATTACAAGCCTTCTACCCACAAGTTAAGAAAAACCCCCATGCAAGATTAATCAAACTTGATCAAACCCAATATCAATTGGTCAACATGAATGAACACAGTTGAGTTGGACTGTCGGGAAAAAAAAAAAAAAGATCCTAGCCCATGCAAGGCTTAGCCCATTTAGAAGGTTGTGTATGCAGTCTTCCAAAGTTTAATATGCATATCTTCTATGGAAAGGTTGTATATATAATCAATTATTGTATATATAGATCTCGAGGCAGTAGGATATATGATCCTGTGATCATTTTTATTGTTGCTTGAAGTTATCAAAATGTATGCATGTTGGTAGTCCGAAAGTGTGTCTACGATGACCCAAATCTTGATTTCGGGACCACAAATGATAAATCGTCATTGTTAACTACCAAGTCGATTTCCAACAAATGGGAGGTTGTCATTTTTTACTTGAGTCAAACTTTATGTCATAAGACGTCTAAGAAGTTCAAGAAGGCATAAGAGTAGGTCTAGCTGCAAATTCCCCTTGAGAGATTTTTTCCATTTCTGTTTTGGCACTATTTGTCATTGGTTTGCATGGGTTTTTTTAAGACCCCATAAAGCTTGTGGTGGACAATAGAGTTGCTTATGCTAGCCTTCATTATTGTGATTGAGGATGTCATCCTCTCTTAGGTGCTGTCATTAGTTGCACAACTTATGCTTACTCTCTTGGCATAGGGGTAGGTGTCCATAAGCCTTACGCAATAACTTCTCCGCAAGGGCTGTGTAGAAGTGATTCCATTATTTGTAACATTAAATGCATGACGGTTATGAAAAATGCTAAGAAAGTTAGCAAAGAAGAAACAAAAGTTAAAAAATATCAAGTAACAAGATAAACAAACCTCATGCTTCTATGAAAAGATAATATCTCTTGGAATTCTCCAAGTTTCATGCTTGATCAATTATGAAAACCTCGAAATGGATAAGAGTCCCCCACATCCACAATAATATTTATGATTCATGTCATTAACTCTATTACATGCTTCATAATTTTCATATTTATAGCTATAATAAATGAAAACGACTAACATATTGCTAATAAATTAATAGCATTGACTAGGACAGTACTAATAAAAGAAATTTAACATTCACAAAAATAAAAATTCAGAATTTATGTCAACATCAGCATTCTTAGAAATTAACCAAACATCATACTGTAAGAGGTTTAGCAACACATTCGAGGAGGTGAATATATTACATTCATGAAAGAAGGACAAAATGTAGATAAGGTGCATGAGCTATTAGAGGAACTGTGCAAGAAATGCAAATAAGATCTCGAAGAGGAGAGCATTCTTCAAATATTAACGGGCAAGTTATGGCCTTGTACAACTATATGGCATTGACTTCCATGTTGGAATAGTTGGTTTATTGTGTCAGGAAAATAAAAAAATAAAAAAAGTTTAGGGCTGATAATTTCATAGATGATGTGAGGCGTACCAAAATCCCAAAACCAAGGATGAGTGAAGTGAACACGAAGAATCTGGTTAAATTATTGTGTGTCACTTATGTATTATGTTCTTTGTAAATATTTGCTTATTTCACATAATAAATGGTTTAGGTATTTTAAATAGTAAAATGTTGGTTTGTAACAATAATTATGGTTCACAAATCAAAAGTTATGGCTGTTTTATTCCTAACTTCTCCTATTGTGCTATTGCTCTCATTGCTTGCATTTTCCCTTGCATTAGTGGTCCTTCTTGGGTTGTAAATGAGTCGAGCCAAGCTGGAGCAACCCAGAACTTGAGATTAAGTTTGATTAATTAATCGAGTTTGAGTTCAAGCTCGAGCTCAAGTTTAATTCTAAGAGTTCGGATTGGCCCATGAGCCGACTCATTTATTAATAAAGAGAGATGATCATTCTTATTCAAATAATTATTATAAAACCTTGATTAAAAAAATAATAAATTAAATATGAAATAATAAAAAATCACTAAAAATAAGGAAGTGATACATAATTTTATAAATTTTAATAATTTTATTGTAAATTATTAAAATTTAATATATTATAATCATATTTAATATTGGTAATTTTTAAACAAGTTGACTTACAAGCTAACAAGTTGAGCCAAGGCTACTTCAAGCTTGGCTTATTAACTTAGCTCATGTTTTATTTATCAAGTCAATCTTGAGTCAGCTCACGAGTCAACTTGACTCAGTTACACCCTTAGTCCTAGCTCCCTATGCATCATCTCCATGTTTTAATCCCATGTTGTTTGGTAGTATGATGGTAAGGAGTAACTTTGCCCTTTATAGAAGCCTTCTTTAAGGTAGGATGGGGGAGTAATAAGAAAAATATTAGCAAGCATGTCCTCTTATCTATACTTTATAGTTTTGTCTTCATTTTGATTAGCATTCTTATTTATGCCATGCTCAACTTATCTATTAATACTTTATATTACTTGAAACTTTGATTCATATAACATAGTTGATTTAATAGTAAATTTATAAATTTGATCTTCAAGTCTCCATAATATTACCTCATAACTAGTGATCCTAAGGTTTTCCATTTTAACTTCCTAATCTTAATTTTGGAAGTTATATTCTCACCTAAATCCGTATTTTTTATGCAATAAAGCCAAGATGCATTACTTTATATTTCAATTCTGCTGATCGATAATTTGTAATATCACGCCTCTAAAATTTCATATATAATACTTAATTTTATTTTAGTAATTATAAGCCTTTTATTCTTAAAACATATACTCAAATATAAGTTTTGGTTTAATTACATATAATTTTCATTGATTTTAATACAAAGAATATTTCTTGAAGAAAGAGTTTTTATTAGAAGAAATTTAAATGGACATATTGATAAAGCGATAGAAGACTTTAAATACTTTTTTTGTGGCTATGGATTTAAAGCTACTAATAAATGTAGTAGTATAATATTAGTTTTTTTTTCTAGCTTATTACCTTATAATTGCAAAGTATGCGCTTGGAGTGTCAAAAGAAAAAGCTCTTAATAGTAAAAATAGTTGATGGCGGAATCAAAATGTGCAAGGAAAGATAAAAAAATAAGAAGTTTTTTTTTTAAAATTGGTTTAAACGTAAAAACTCTAAAAATTGGGAAGGATATAAAGAGGCCCATAAGTAGTCTAAGAAAGTAATATGTGATGCAAATATTTTAACTTTTAATAATTTATATAATAGATTCGATACTAAGGAGGACAAAAGATATATTTAAAAGTTAGCCAAACAAAAAGATATGAGTAGTAAGAATTTAGTTCAAGTGAAGTGCATTAATGATGAATATCAAAAAGTGTTTTTATTTGAAGAGGATATTCAACAAAGATGGATAAGATATTTTGCTAAGTTTTTCAATGAAGATTATGAGAATATTGTTGAATTTAGTGACTTTAGCACACTAAATGAAAATAGAGATATTTATTTTTATCAGCATATTAGTAAAACGGAAGTTAGAGAGGCTTTAAAGAAAATGAAGTGTGAAAAAACTATTGGACCTGATGATATTCTAATAGAGGTGTGAAAATGCCTACGAGATGAAGTAATTTACGAGATTTTTCAAATTATAGAGTAATTAAGTTAATGTGTCATACTTTAAAACTATTTCATACGTTATATCGTGATACTAATGTTTCTCAAAATCAAATTGGATTCATGTTGTGTAGGTCTGCTATAGAAGCTATACATTTATTAAGATGTTTGATGGAGAAGTGTAAGAGAGAATAAGGAGGATCTACATATGATATTTATTGATTTAGAGAATGCATATAATAAAGTTCCAAGCGAATTGCTATGGAGAGTTCTAGAAAAGAAAGGGACTAATAATGCTTATATTCAAGTCATTAAGGATATGTATGCATGAGTTTTTAATTATTGCAGAGATGAGATCAGGTGGATGAGAGGCTTTACTCTTTAGAGACATGAAATAAATCAAGCAAATATGTGAAAATGTTGAAGATCCAAAAGTGTTTTTCTTAGAAGAGTATATTCAATACATGTGGATGAGATATCTCGATAAACTTTCCAATAAAGGTTGTTAGAATATAATCAATTTTTATTGCCTTAGCACCTTAATTAAAAATAGAGAAATTTATTTTTATTATGATATTACTAAAATTAAAGTTCGAGAGATTTTAAAGAAAATGAAATGTGAAAAAGTAGT